ATCTACACGGAGAGAAATCTGTTACTAATAACGCATGAGCAGACCGTTCGAAAATAGCACAGACACAATCTTGCGTAAATTGCAAGAAATCCATGCTGATTTTTCATGGCTACCGAGCAAAACTCGCACAAGCTGTGTAAAATTAGCACAAGTCTTTGCGATATTAGCAAATGAAGCTCATGAGAAAAGCGCACGCGTAAGTCTTGTGAGATATTCGTAACAGATTTCTCTCCGTGTATGATTATGCAAAATATATAAAATCTTTATAAATATTTGAATAATTTATATACATATATTTACAATTTTTATATTTATAAAATAACAATAGAATTCAAGCACACATATATATTATTCATTTGTTTTAATTTATACAGTGCAGAATCGTATGGAAGTTATCCGCATCACCTATTTTCAAAACTGTACAAATGGAGCTTTGGAATCAAACATCGAGAAACTATTTCATACTTTATGGAAGCAGTGAAAAAACTGAATACCAACGTGAGGTTAATGGAATCTCAAAAATAACCAATGACAAACATGGATGATCATCAAATTAAATATCGCTTAAAAATAGTTGATATTATTATTTCTGATCCTTGTATACACAATCATATGTTTCATATAAGGTGCAAAATGTGATATTTTTAATTAATTATCTTTTTTTCAATTTTTATTTGATTTAATTAGAGATTTATTTCATTTATTTTTGTATTTTAGTAAAGTTTTTACTTTAGACGAAAATAACTTTTTGTGAAGTGATATTCCTTATCAAAAAAATTTAGAAACCATCTTTAGTTATCCAATTTTAATATTTTCTGGTACAACAAATTTTTGTACTACTTAAAAATAAAAACAATGAAAACATATCTCAATCAAGCCCCAATTGGTTGGACTGAATATATTATTATGTTCTTAAAAACTAAATCAGTGAAGAAAAAATTCACTGATTTAGATTTTCTTTTCTCGTATAACACCTGATTAAAAGAATTTGGAATTTTATGGAGAAATATTTAAAATAATAAGGAAGGAGCGAAGATTATGATATTTTTTGAATAAATTATTATTATTACCAAGTATTTTTTAATAATTAATTCAACAAAAAATCATAATTTTTACACATAGCAAACTTTTCTTATTATGTTTTTAGAATTTCTCTAAAAAATTTCAGTTCAATCTAGTCAGTATATATATTTTACGAAAAATCCGTTAAGTAAATCAATAATCAAAAGCATGAAAATTATTAGTTTAAATGCATGTGCTATATAATTTATATCATGCGTATACAGCATATGTTTTTTATATCCATAATCTTTATTCTTCTGGTAAAAATTTTGTTAATTCATTATAGCACATTTTTATCGTTACTAATTTTTTTAGTAATCTGAATTAGTGAATGTTCCATTGACTTTATCAGTGATTATACATTGCTCACAATTTTAAAAATTAAATAAAATTTCAGACATTTCTTGTCAATTGTCTACTAGGAAAAAAGGATAAAACTGCTATCAGTAACAAAAAGTAAAATTTAAGCAGTATTTCTAAATAACTAACATTTTTTTTCTCAAAGAAGTCAATGTAACTTTCAATGATTCAGATTCAAAAGAGAAAATTAAAAAATTTTCTCAATCTTTGTAAAATTTTATTTACTTCTCATATTAGATTAAATATTTTTAGAAACGATGATATATAAAAAATTATTTACGTAAAAATAGATATTCTAAGTATATATTTATATGTAAGTTATAAAACACAAAATCCACGTCTTCCATTATGATATAAAAACTTATTTAAAATAAGAGTGAATAATGAGTATAATATAAATGTTAAGGTATAATGTATTAATTATCATTTTGTAAATATTCTGGCATTTTAGAATATATTTCATGAAAATTATATATATATGGTATGAATGCAATTATAATTAATTAAAATAATAAAATTCTCAATCCCTTATTGAGAAGAAATTAGTACTCCTATTCAAGTCGATTTAGAAAAATTAAATAACTCTAAATCTGAATATTATATTCAACTTAAAATTCACATATTCTTTACCAAATACTTCTTTCAATAATTGAAAACAAATAAATATTCAAAAAACATATATGTGAAAATTTCTTCTATTCAGATTTAGAAAAATGATTAACATCATAATCAAAAGAATCATTTAAATAGTATAAATAATTGTCGTATTTATAATATATATTTAGATTTAAAATCGAATAATGTTCAAACTTTAAATAATACAAAAGTTTGAATAGTAAAATTTTTAATTTCGTTTCTTTCGACAATAAAAATAAGTATTTTTATTGTATTTATATTATATTGTATAATATGTGCTACGTTTAAAGTTGTGACGCGACAATAATAAATAGTTTTTAGGCCACATGTGCAAAATAATATACAAATGAGTATATTGTAAATAGTATTAAGATTTATAAGTGTCATTCATTGTTTGTTATACTCAACAATTGAATTATAAATTTATACAAAGGTGTAACAATTTTACATTATTAAAGTAATTAGTTCAAACAATACAGAAAAATTATAAATTAACAACATCAAGTTTTGTACTTTTTTTTACACTATATCCGTTTATTTATTTTTAATGAAAAATTTCCTATAATCTACCATCTTCCAAAAATTATTATCCGAAACTTAAACACTTTACAGGTAAGTAATTTCAGTCTATCGAAATTAATGTTGTTTAGGGATGTAAATTTTCTGGCATTATTTAGAATCTAAAATTATTATACCTATATTATTAAAATTAAAAAAAGATTATTTTTGTTAATTTTGGAAATTTTATTTTTTGCAAAAATTATAATTTTTTAAAATAAAAAAATTGACGATAAAAAATAATAAAAATTATTATTATAAATAACAAAACATTGTTTCGCACTGTCATTTTTCTTATGTTCTTTTTTTTATACTTTAGTACTCTTGTACGAAAGGGCATTGCCCGTATATATATGTAAATAAATAAATAAATAAAAATTTTGGAAGAATTTTGTTCACTTGAACGTTCAGAACTTCAGATACATAAAATTCTTTTTCTTTTCTAATTTTTTAATTCTAAGAGAAAATTCAACATGATTCCTGCAATGTGTAATAATTTTATTAAAGTCGGGAACAACTTTAATAAAAATATAATTGATTGACTCAAATTTTTTAATATTTATATAATTCATCATTTTTTCTTTTTTTTTGAAAAACTATGCCACTAGATTAAATAGAGAACTTTTTGTTCAGTATGGCTTGAATTACAAGGTAAAAGTATATATCCTTAGTAGATATTGCAGAGCGCTTTACTTCCTATTTCAGATTATTTTACCTTACTGATATAATCTTTTTTACCAACAATAATAAATGAAGTTTAATATAATAAATTAGAATTTATAAACTTTCATCATTCTTAACAAAAATTATTAATAAACAAATGTTTATTTATCGTTTCTAATATTTTTTGATTAAGAAACTATAATAAATAAAAAGTTTTAATCGGTTCTTTATAGTTTCTAAGAGAAACGGGGTCAGACAAAGGGGTTCTAGTCAATATTTGAGTAGCCATCAAAGAGAAACCAAAGGTGATAGATCCTTCTTGAACTACGACTTGCACTTTATAGGCTACAACAACATTTTAGAAAAATTAAATAAACGCTCTATGTTTTTAAGTAACTAGTTTTTATGGCAAATAAAATCTTGTTTTTAGAAAAAAGGCTTTTTTGACTAAAAAAAGGGCAAAATTATTATTATCAAAATTCAAAATGGCGGATCCAATATGGCGGGCGTTGAAATTAAAAATCAATCGGATTAGCTTAAAATTTGTTACTCGGAGGTTTTCAAGGTCGCTGATTACAAATCTTATGTCAGATTTTCAAAATTCAAAATGGGGGATCCAAATGGCGGGCGAAAAGATAAATATTCATAGAATTTTGAAACGTATTCGATATAAAACTGAAAAATCAATTATATTTGCTTAAAAATTGTTACTCGGGAGTTTTAAGGGTAAATGATTACGAATTTAATGTCATATTTTGAAAATTCAAAATGGCGGATCTAATATAGCGAGCGTAAAACTAAAAATCTATCGGATTTGCTTTAAATTTGTCACTAAGGGGTTTTCGGGGTCGCTGATTATGAATCTGACATAATTTTTTCATAATTTGAAAAATTATGAAAAAATTTCTAAATTCTTTGCCTGTATATTTTCACTAAATAAATAAATTTTTAATTTTAATTTTAATTTTAATTTTGAAAAGCTGATGTCAGATTTGAAATCAGCGACCCCAAAAACCTTAAAGTAACGAGTTTCAACCCCAAAGTAACAAATTTTTAGAAAATCCAATTGATTTTTAACTTTACGTCCACCATATTGGATTCACCATTTTGAATTTTGTGATTTTTCAATTTTTTCTTTAATTTCGTAAACTTTTTAACTGTTTTAACGTTGGAGACCTTGTAGAATGTTGAAAATGATTTCTTTTATATATTTTTTACCAAGAAATAAAATTGGAAACAGTGCTTTCACAGAAAATTAAAAGGCATTAAAATAAGCTGCAACACTTATTATTTTTATTCAATTTTGCTTATTTGAATCCATTTTGGTATTAAAATAAGCAAAATTGGATTAAAATAATAAGCTTTGCATCTTATTTTAATACCTTATAATTTTTTGTGTTTGGTCATTTATTCCTCTATATTTTTTTTGAAATTTTAATATTTTAAAAAGGGTCAGACGGCATTAAAAAGTTGACATTTTTACCTTTAACATTAATTTTGAGTATTGTTACATAAAATTGTTTAAACCTTTAACTTTATAATATTAGAAAAATAAATATTTCAGTAAGAAATATAGTATCGTTTAATAATAAATTGATTTCCCATGTGTTAGGAATATAATCAGAACTAGTAAAAACTAAGTTACGTATTCATTAATAGCATCTTTCTAAGGCCCGAAGGAATTCACTTGCTGTATTACTTTGTTATGATCAATTTTTTAAGACAGTATAAAAAAGCTTCAGCGACAGCAGCAGAACACATTGTTTCCTATCTTTCTACGAGACGAACATCAATTAAGGTGAAATTGTTCTTAGTATATTTTAAAGTAACAACGCCTTTTAGTATTATAAATTTTATATAGAGTATATTAAAATCATTATTTCTTATAGTACAATAAACTTATTGTAGTCCATACTTTTTGAAAAATAATATTGCAGTTTTTAGGCCAAACCATGTTATTTCTTATCTATTAAAAAAAATTATATTAATTATTTAATTTACTTATTTATTTAAATGAAGTTTGACAATAGACTTATCTTGAAATTCGTATCAAATAAACTTTTCAATAACTAAGTTTTTTTTAATACTGACCTCCATAAGATTTAATACAACCACATGCATTTGACAGGGATATTTATCTTTTGATTGTTCTATTTAGTATAAAAACAATTGAGGCAAGAAAGTAAAATACAATCTAGCTGTTGACCACTGACGAAACAACTTCTTTTTCAATATTTGCCTTGCAAACCAGGTAAATTTTTTATTGTAAAAGTATATTTTAAATTCAAATATTTCTATGCATAATTTTAAGTTCTTAATTATTATTTATGCCTTTAAACAAAAATTAAAACGTTCCATTTACATCTTTTATTGTTTATTGCAAATATTTATTATTTTAAATATTATATACAGGGTGTTGAAAAATTATGAAAACTTGCAAATATCTCGAAAAGTACACATTTTTGCGATACTTCCTTTTTCAATGTTGGATCCCGGGCCCAATTTTTTCAGTTCAAAAATGTAGATCTTTTTGTTGGGATCAACTTTTGTGTTGAATATTTTTGACGAAAACGCGTACTTTTCGAGATACATGCAAGTTTCCATACTTTTTGAACACCCTGTATATTATTTTCATTCTTATTAATTTTATTTACATATTTTTAAGAATAATTAAAGCTTAGGACTCGATAAAGGTTTCTTTTTAAACATTAGTAATATACTCAAATAATGTGATTAAACAAATTTTTCAATGAATTTCAATAAATTTCCTGTCTACTTTTTAAATATTTTATTGATTTTTATAAAAAAAGAAATTATGCAAAAAAATTTAATATATAAGATTTTAAATTTAAATTTTTAAAAAAATGTACGCCATATTGGATCCGCCATTTTAAAGTTTCGAAAACTGACATTAGATACGTAATTAGCGATCCCGAAAACACTGGAGTAATCATTTTCAAGTGAATCCAATAAATTAAAAAAAAAAATTCTGCCATATTGGGTCAGCCATTTTGAATTTTTAAAAAGTGATACCAGATTTTAAAAAAACGGACACTGAATTCTAAAACAGGGACCCAAAAAACTATTAAACCATGTTGAGATATAAAATTTTCTATGCAAAGTAAATTGATCCGTTTTCGTATATGTACCGATTTTTGCAAGTCAATAAAACCGTAGGAGGGTTAATATAATTTAATAATAATATTTAATACAATTTTAATATTATTAATAATATAATATTTAATAATAAATTAAAAAATCTATAAATCAGTTCATAATAATTGTATTCAATAAACAAAATAGTAATTCAAATCAACAAATCGGTTCGACAAATATTTACTCATGAAATCAAATTTGTCTTTAATACAAATTACTTGTATAATTTATTCAAAATTGAGATAAAAAGTATACTGTGTATAAATATAGTATGTATCTTGATGTGTATCATACCATTCAAATCATTAATTTAAAAATTACTTTTTGAAAAAAGAATTATTAACAAAATTATAAGGGATTATTTTTTATATAACAGTTTTAATTTTTTTTTATAAATCTTTGTAGAAAAAATCGATTGAAACTGATTGCAAAAAATAGGAAAGAAATTTCTATTGTCCTTAATAGAAATTAAGAAACGATTAAGTCGTTTGTGGTTTTTAGGGGCGAAAACAACCCCTAAATAAAAAGTGACAAGATATCTTTTAAAAATTATTAATATTTTATAAAACTTGGTATCTGAGTTTTCGGGGTCGATTATTATGAATCTGATGTCAGATTTTCAAAATTTAAAATGGCCGATATAAAATAAAAAATTAATAACTTTTTAAAATTTTGAACGACATATTGGATCCGCCATTTTGAATTTTAAAAAACTGACATCAGATTAATAATTAGCGACCCCGAAAACCTCCAGATACCAAGTTTTATAAAATATTAATAATTTTTAAAAGATATCTTGTTACGAATGTTAACTCTGGTAGTTATAATATTTAGCTGCCGCGGCAAAACATGTTAGCTATTAATAAAAACTAATTATAACAGAAAAATATGCTATTGAATCAACAGCATTTTAGCCAAAGGTATAAAAATTATTGATTCAAAAGTTTATGCTATAAAATTTGTAAAATATTTTATAGATTCTATAGCATATGTTTTTGAAATTTTTATACCTTTGAAAGAAATGCTATTGATTCAATAGCATATTTTTCTCAGTGTAGCTGTATTAGCTAACAATAATTGCTATCCATATAATACCAATTGGGGTTAGCTGAGGTAACTAAATTTTAGCTAATATAGCTAACTATTTTTCTCCGTGTAGTTTCCGTGTCGGACGGTGTAATAGAATCTATATAAAACCTATTTACAGTTTCATATATAAAATAAGTAAATATTATTTTTCAGCTAAACACACCCTAATTGCAACATGTTGTTTCTACGAGCTGCGCTTTTCATATTTGTCATTATTGTCGTTGCCGTATATGCAGAAGCAGGTTATAGAAAACCTCCATTTAATGGAAGTATTTTTGGCAAAAGATCTGTTGCCATGACTGGTAAGATTATAAAATAAATAGCTATCACAGAAAAAAAAATTAGTATACTTTAAAAATTAAAATTGTTATGCATTTATTTTTAGAAAATATATAATATGCATATAAATTGACACTGTTTTTAATATTTATGTTCATTACTAATCTATCTTGATGCTAATAGGTGACTATGACGTAGCCAATAGAGCTTTAATGGCAATGTGTGAAGTAGCTAGTGAAACATGCACCACTTGGTACAATCGTCAAGACATTAACTGAAAAGCTCCAACAATATTCCAAAGAAATCATAATGATCTACATATAATATACTCACAGAAATCCAATAATTTATAAATTTAAAAATGTACAAAAATGCTTGAAAAATATATTGCTTGTGTAATAATAGTAGTATTTATTTCATATTGTTTTAGTTTTACAATTTTCAATTATATGATATAGTTTATGCACTCAGAAAAAAAATTGTGTAAAATAACCAAATTATGGTTGAATCAACTAAATATAAATGCATTACTATATACAGTTAATCAAACTTTTGTTTGAACCAACCAAAAGTTTATTTGGCCCATTCAAATTCATTCTTTGTTCGAATAATTTATATCCTTTCTTAAACAAAACAGTGGTGCACTGAACTCGATAAATCTCGAAATAAGGAATGAGCATTGAGAATGTGAAATCTTAACAGAAAGGCGAAACTTATATCAAGATTCGAAATGTATAGGTGGAGCTGCAGTCGCTTCTTTCATAAATGAAATATGAGCGCTATTATTTGAATTTATCAGCTAATTTGCTTCTGAACACGTCAAAATTATTTAGATTAATTGATAGTTTCAAATCAACAGATTGAAATGAAAAATTACTCATTTCAATATAAGTTAATATATTGCGTTTTTGCTCATTTTTCATTAAAAAGAAAATATCAAAATTATTATTACTCTTTCGATGACAAATGAATTACAAAATAACTCTAATATTTTAAATTTTTTAATTTTACAAAATAGTAATTTCATTAAATAAAATTTTTAAAACATAAATAAAATGAAATATAATTTTTTCGTTAATTTTGCGGGCAAAGAATTATGAATATTAATTATTAAGTTTGATTTAACAATTGAATAAATAACTCACAAAATTACAAAATGAATAAATATAGTCAGTTTTTCGTAAAACAAAGAAAAAATGAAACAATGTTCATTTTACAAGATGAAAATGAAAAAAATTCAATTAAATTGAAAAATAAATTAATTTTATGGTTCAACAATTTATTTTTAACGTGAATTATTATTCAATTTAAAAATTAATTTAATTGAAGTTGGAGATCCATTTTTTTTAAATATAAAAATATTAAACAATTTTTCATGAATAGAAAATATAATTACAAATTAATTGCATAAAAATTGAATTGATTATTTAAAATTTATTATATAATATATATTATTCAAGTTGGAAATTATATTAGAAAGTAAATTATTATTTTCATTAATTAAAAAATTTGAAAATCAACTTAAATTCAATATTTTGAATTTAAGAATAGGAGCATGGAAGCAACGTAGTCGACGGAGGCGCTAGTTAAAATTAACAAAACATTTATAATTATTATTTAAATAAATATAAAAAAAAAATATTCATTTAAATCAAACAAATTTTATTTGAAATAGACAAAAAATAGAGTAAATACAAAAAAATGGTATATTTGGTTCAAACAAAATTTTTCTCTGAGTGTAACAGATGTTTTACTTTTTAATTATAAATTGCAATTTCTTGCACAAAATACACCCAAAAGTGTAGAAAAAAATTGACAGCCCGATCCGTGTAGAAGAAGACCCCAATTATGACCTTTAAAGCGTATACGGTCAAAAAAAAATTTTCAAAAAAATTCAATTTTTCTTAGGCAGTCTTTTTTATTGCAATTTCTTGCACAAAATACACCTAAAAGTGTAGAAAAAAATGGACAGCCCGATCCGCGTAAAGGAAGACCCCAATTATGACCTTTAAAGCGTTTATCGTAAAAAAAAATTTCAAAAAAATTCAATTTTTCTTAGGCAGACTATTTTATTGCAATTTCTTGCACAAAATACACCCAAAAGTGTAGAAAAAAATTGACAGCCCGATCCGAGTAGAGGAAGACCCCAATTATGCCCTTTAAAGCGTTAACGGTAAAAAAAAAATGTTCAAAAAAATTCAATTTTTCTTAGGCAGACTATTTTATTGCAATTTCTTGCACAAAATACTCCCAAAAGTGTAGAAAAAAATTGACAGCCCGATCCGAGTAGAGGAAGACCCCTATTAGCATCATTAAACACTTTCCGTCATAGAAAAATCGACAAAAAAAATCAATTCTTCTTAGGCAGACGATTTCATTGCAATTTTTTGCAGAAAATACACCCAACATGTTGTAAATTCAGATGTTTATTACATGAACATTTTACTTCCTCTTTACGATCAGCAAAAAAATTTGCTTCTACGTGGAGAAAGCATTAACATTGAAATAAACATACAAAAATAATATAATAATAATATAAACATTTGAGTACCTATAGAGTTGAGTTAAATTTAAAGAATTAATGGAAGTTAAAAAATCAATAATTCACATTTTAGCTGAAATTTCTAAAAATTAATGAAAATTAATTTAGGTATAGTTATTTACAATTATATCGTTTTTTTCAATGCAAGGAACACAATTATTTTATATTTAAACTTGAATTTAAATAAATACAAAATTTTTCAGCTAAAATGAGAATATTTTTTTAACATTCATTAATTTAGTAAATTTACCTTAAATGTATACTTTATATATACCAATCGATTCGTTTTCATGCTAGGAATACAATTATTTCAGATATAAACTTCAATTTGAAAAATCACAAAATTTTATTGCCAAAATGTGAATTTATTGATTTTTTAACTTTTATTAATTCTTTAAATTTAAATTAAAACTATACTTTATATACTGATCGATTTGTATTGACGTAAGGAATACGATTTAATTATTTATAACCTTAAATTTTTCTATTTAAAAATTTTTTCGATTAAAAAAAAATTTTGGAAAAAAGACGATAAAATTTTTTTTTTTTTTGGTATTTTTTAAAATCCTTTGGTCAGATTTGAGATATTAATATGATAAATGAGACTATTAAATTTTATCTAATTCCATTAAAACCTGTTAAAGTTATCGTCTAAACAAAAAAGGGATCCACACACACACATACATCCGGACAATTGATCAGGATCTTGTATAACATGTTTCTATATAGAAAAAAATTTATTTTTCACTACTTTGAAAATTTGTATAAACGAAAAGACTACAAAGCTTCCTCCAGGAGATAGCAAAATCATTAAAATTCTGAAATTTAAAAAAAAATCATATCTCTGTAAAGAGAAAAAAATCATGTAACCCTTTTAGCGGTGAAGTTCTAATAGATAAAAAAAATGTTAGCCAAATCGAATATGTCAAAATCAATTCTATATATCGGAATGGAGTAGACCCCCCGCATATATATCTTCAAAAGTATTTTCATTTTATGTTAAAATTCATTTAATGTAGTGTTCTTAAAATCTGATATGTAAATGAAATTGTCAAGTATGTTTGGCACGTTTCTGTTCACCTGCTGATATAAGGGCTATGACCTCTTTTTTGTTTATATTGGTAGTAATGAAATCTAAATATATATTAGAAGTAAAAGTTTAGACAAAAAAAATATATATTTACAAATAGTATACTATATATTTCTATAAAATTATAGAACCACATACATTTCTAAATATAATTAAAAATTTTATTATTATGATTCAATTCATAAAATGTACATGAAATAACTAGTATTTCTTTTAATATATACAGTAGGAAAACACACATGTAGTTTACAATAGAAACAAAAAACTTTTTTTAAGAGTTAGAATTTTTTTTAACCATTTTACCATAAATGACAATACTTTTTACACCTCCAAGTATTGAAACAGATTTTGTAACAATTATACAAATGTATCAGAGTTTCTAGACACGATCAAACTACATAATGAGATAGTACGAAGGTATAAAAAAGATAATGAGATTTAAAATTAGTACATTGCTGAGCAGAACTCGAAAGGTAAGTCAATAATCCTTTATTATATTGAAGCTTTTTTGTGACCAACATAAAAATTTACATTTTCTTTAAAATTTCGATTCTTTTTTGTCCCTAACCTTTAATATTGAAGAAATTAATTTTTTATTTTTAAAATTTAATTTTGCAATTATTTAATTTTTGAATATAAACATATATAAAATTGTGCCTAATCTGAAATTTTACGCAAATCAATTATTATTTATTCAAAAATTTCTAACACTATTGATTTTCAGTGTAACCATCCTTTATTATCTGAACCCATAACTGGCACCATGGGTCCATTTGACCCAAGCATTTTTTCGAGCTCAAATTAATTGAATGTGTAGCTTTTGAATATTTTTTATATTTTAATACATATTAGTTTGACATATTCTTAATAATTTTCTAAGTTTTTTGGTACAACTGATTCGACACAAAGAATAAATTATCTTCAAACATTAATAATCATAATATTAAAATTTAAATAACTCATGAATTTTCAAGTAAGAACACGCAATTTTTGGTTTTTATTTTTCACATTTTTTTTTAACTAACTTAAAATAAATTAATTGCTGTAAAACTAATTAAATTTTAAAAAACACATCATAAGCTACCTCAGATTAAATTTTTGTGCAAAAATATTTAATACTGGATGTACAATACACGTTTGAATTCTTCGGGTCCAGTAGACCCATTGTGCCAGTTAAGGGTTAAAGTTGTAAGCGACCAAACGACAACAAAATTTATATTTTCCTTAAAATTTCGAGTTTTTTTTTTTTGTTTTTTTCTTTCACAATTTTTAATATTTTACATTGTCAATTTTGTTATTTAAAGATTTTTCATGATTCTAAATAATTAATCGTATAAATTTTAAAAGAATTTAATTTTTTCAAAAAATAAAATTTCTAAAATAGAATGTTATGAACATTCAAAAACAAAAAATCATTAAAATTCTAAAAAATTCATATCTTGTAAACGGCATACTAAAAAAAAATTGAAAAAAATCATGAAAGCTAGTCTCAATTAGTATTAAAAGAAAAAAAAGTTTCAAAACAAAATCGGAGATGTAAATGCAAAATGTTGTCTGATTTTTTACAAAGTGAGGCTCACTTTGATAATTTAAAAATTTCTTTTTATTTACATGTTTATATCTTATTGTAAATGTTTTATTTTTATGCGCGTGAGATTGCACACATGACATTTAAATATATTGGTCCAGAAAGACAAACACTTGTCCTTGCCGCATTATATATCCAATACCTTCTTAAAGGTATAGTGGTTACCACGCACAGTTTAGTTTATTGAAGATTCTCGTGAGTGACACATTTATCACTAAAATGTTTCATTTTATATTTTTAAAATTAAAAATTTAAAAATTAAAAAACAATTTCATTAACTTGAAAGATAACGGCTATAAACAAACACTATACAGGTTTAACAAAAAATTTAATAAAATACCTTTTTTCGAAATTCATTATCTTTCTCCAGGTTCCCTCTTTCTTGTATTTATCATTTCATTAATTAATCAATTTTCATAAAAAGAAGAAAAGAGTTCTTGAAATTCAATTTAATGAAATTGTTTCATATTAAGTGCTCAGAAAAACATATTTAACAAATTACTTTGTAACTACTCCTTAGAATTAGTAAAAATTTTAACTAATTTGAATAAGTGACTCACTTTTTGCTTTTAAATTAGTTAAATTTGACTAATTTAATAATTAAAATTATTTTTACTATTACTTAAATTTTACTAATTTAAAAGCAAAAAGTGATTCATTAACTCAAATTAGTTAAAATTTTTACTAATTCAAATTTAGAGAATATAAACCACAAATGTATTAAAAAAATGTTTAATTAACACCAATAAATCAAATTCAATGTATTTCAATTTAAAATAAATATTCAAAATTTAGTCGATAAATATTGAGAAAATTGATAATGTGTGCTATAAAAATTTTCAAGCAATAAATATTTAAATAAGAAACAGACATTTATAAATTTAATTATTAATACTTCTGATATTTAAATTTACAAAAAATTTATTTTACAGTGTATATCATTTCTGTGAATTAAGCAATTACACAAGCAATAGATCTGGATTTAAACAATATTTTATTTAAAAATGTTTATCTTAATGTCTCAAAGCAATAAATCTGAATTTTTTTTTAATGGTAAGATAATATTTAAATATATATGACTATAAAATTTATTGATTCAATAAAATATAAATTATACAATATTGTAAATATTTTAGTGTTTTTTATTGTAATTACAATGATGTTACTTGGAATTGAAAAAGTTAATGCTGATGATAGTTCTCCAGCCTTTTTTCTGAAAATTGCCAAAAATGTACCTCGTATTGGACGAAGTTCGGGGGCAGAAAATTTTTTTTTGAAAGCTTCTAAAAATATACCGAGAATTGGAAAACGTGAAGAGTCGGTGAGTATATCAATTAAAACTATAAAAAAAATTTTAAACCTTGTAATATATAAAATTAAATTTTAAATGTATTACATAAGCATCCAAACAAGGTTCCTTATATAAATACTTCCAATTTATATAATGCAAGAAAAAGAGTTTTTAAAATATATTGGTTGACTGAAACTGACCTTTATAATACTAAAAGTATTTTATTTTAAATAAATGACAATTTTTTATTTTTATCTTAAATTCTATTTAAGATTATTTGAGTGTATAAAACAGTGAAAAATTATTTTGAAAAATCTCACACGCGTGGGGGATCGAACCCAGAACCCTTAGAACGCGAGTCGTGTACTTTGACCACACAGACACATTGGTTTGCAGACCTTTTACTTAACATTTCTTCTTGAATATTAAAACTAAACTATACCTTCTATTTATGATAACAAAATAACTATATTATAGATACATTTTTATATCTAATAATAGTTTATAATACTTTTAAATAATTTATTTTAAAAATTATCAAATAAATTTAGTAGAAAATATAATATTATTATATTATATATATTATATTACTTTTCAATAATGATAGCGAAAAATTTATTTTTAATTTTTAACCCTCGGAGCACACACCTCTTTTTTCGAACAAGTAGCACAGTCTGGGTCGCTGTGACCCTGTTTACTTTACAAAACTCCCCTATTTTTGAACTATTGGACTGATCAACACAAAAAAAATATTTTTTTATTCATTGAACCTTGTAAAATAAGAATATGCAGTTTAGAAATATTATTAAATTATTTGCATATTGAAAAAAAATTCGTGAAGTTAACTAATTAAAAAGAAAAAATTGAATTTAAAAAAAATGTAACTTTTGTAATTTTTAATATTTTAAGCTAAAAATTGGGATTTATATTCTCGAAGTGTGTTAGAATAAGGGAAAAAATACCACCTTATTTTATTTTTTAAAAAAGGTATTTATTTTGAAGTTTAACGAAGGTAACTTTTAAGACGATAAAAATGTGATTTTCGACACAACTTTTTAAAACTATACTTTTTTAATAACATATTTACTAGTATTTTATTATTTTCTTTGGATTATCATGTTACTTATTATTCCTTATTAGTTAGTTACCACTATATGGCCTTAGGTTCGTGTTGTATTGCCGACTTTTCAAATTACACTTCATTGAAATTAATGACAGGGTCTGTGTGACCCAGTATGTGCTCCGAGGGTTAATTAAAAACATAACAATTTTTTTTATAAACAAATTAAGTTTTTTTTTAATTTGGATATGATTTTTAAAAAACCTTTTTTTAAACATACCTGGAAATACTATAAAGATTTTGCAAAAAAATTTAGAGTGGGACGATAAGTTTTATAGATTTAAATAGACATTTAAACACCGTGCGCAGTATTGTGAACATTTTCCCGTAGGTTGAAGAGTTTATTGAACGACACTGTTTTCTTTTTTCTGACTTTAATACAGTTGATATAATCAATACTTTGAAATAAGAAAAAAAAATAATAATAAAAAAATAAATAGTAATTAATAGTAGAAAAATCGTTTATGGGACCAAAAAATTCAAAATGGCGCACCTATGGCGACTCAATATGGCAGAAAATTTTAAAATTGATTCGATTCGTTCAAAACAACTAAAAAAATTTTTTTTTCTTTAATATTAATTTATAAATAAAAATAATAAATATTTCTTAAATATATTGTTATAGTCAATCCTCGAAAACGGATACACGTCATCTCCATACAACAATGATAATCAGTTTTTGAAAGCAACGAAAAGAAGAATTGGTTATCCTGCTAACACAGGTATTATATTTGTATTATATATTCGAGATTTATTTTCTTCTGTTTATATGTATGCGACGTGAACAGTCATTATTGATTTCAATAAAAGAAAGATATACGCTGATTACTAATTTCAAAATTTTAAATTGATCCAATATGGCGGAAACTTTTTTTTAAACTTGACGAAAAAATTCGTTTAAATCTAGTTACTCGAGGACCAAATACAAATTTTACGTTAAATTCCTATATAACTATTGACTGTTAAGAACTTTTAAATTCGGATAAATAATAACAAACTTTGTTTAAAAAAATACAAAAACCGAAAAAAAATTTTCCAATTTAATATACGTGAAAGTATACTAAGACTTTGCAAAAAGTTTCAAAGTAAACCTTCTTGGTCCAACCTAAAGAGATAAATCTTATCCTATTAAAATAATTTGTTTTTAAAAAAAATTTAATTCGTTTTCTTTTCTTTTTTAAAACAACATTTATTTTATTTCACTTTTCTATAAGTGGAGTGAAGGATCTTAGCGCAGACAAAAAACTTTTTATTTTAAAAAATAGAAAAAAAGAAATTTTTTTTGTTTTAAACAAAAGGATTAAACAAAAAAGGATCATCGGGCTCACTCTAAAACTTTTTGCAAAATTTTTTTTTGGAAATTTCAACTCTCCCTCTCTCCCCATATGTAACGCACAGTTACATACATTAGCGCCATTTTTTTCGCTCACCGTAACAAATAGCTTGACCCCCCCCCCCTCACCCTGGAAGCGTTTCGTATTTTGTGAACAGTCCCTTCCAGATATGTAAAACGAAAAAAAGGTAAACTTGTTTTAAATTTTAATTTGAGGTACGGAAACATGGACTTGGGAACATTTTCCTCTCGCAATAGAAGGTCCACCTGAATTATGGAGAACACTTGCAAGATACAGTGATGAAAAAGCTTTTGAATCATCTGACGAGTGAGTAAATAGTTCAGATTTACATAAAGGCGTTTAAGAATTTTATGTTAATATTCAGATTTTGACAAAATATTTTTCGCTAAAAAATATTTAAGAAATTTTTTTAAAATCGTTCCATTTATTCTGTAAATCTGAATTAGTAAAAATGTTTACTAATTTAAATTAGTGACTCACTTTTTGCTTTAGAATTAGTTAAATTTTACTAATTGTTAGTAAAATTTACTAATAATTAGTAAAATTTTACTAATTGATAAGCACAAAGTGAGTCACTAATTCAAATTAGTAAACTTTTTTACTATTTCAGATTTAGAGAGTAATTGAAAACAATTTTCATAGTACTCAGCAAGAAAAATGTTTCTTTGATATAGGGTTGAAGAAAAGTTTTCTTTAATATAAAGAAAATTTATTTTTAATTTAAAAAAAATTGTTTACTTTAATGATAGAACCTCCAACGTCCTTCCTGCAGGATGAAAAAGACTCACGTGAGTCCCTCCGAAATCGCTTTCTAAAATTACCTTGGATTGAGATAAACACAAAAAAATATATTATATATATTATATATTATTATATATTATTATATATTTTTATATATTATATATATTATTTTATTAGTTAGATATTTTGTTTGGTAAATATTCTAAATGAACGACATTTAAAGTGGTCGATATTTTATTTGTTCGATATTCTAAATGATAGAAATTTAGAAGCATCGAATTTTATATCCATCGAAATTTAATTTGGTCGATATTTTAAAAGCTCGACACCTTTTTAGCTATACGAGTTTCCTTTCTATGTAGTTTGTCGGTAAAATACATTGAAATTTTGCGGGAAATTTGAAATTATTGATGTAAATAATAATAACAACATAGAGAGGAAACTCGTATAGCTAAAAAAATGTCGAGCTTTTAAAATATCGACCAAATTAAATTTCGATGGATATAAAATTCGATGCTTCTAAATTTCTATCATTTAGAATATCGAACAAATAAAATATCGACCACTTTAAATGTGGATCATTTAGAATATCGACCAAACAAAATATCGAACTAATAAAATTTCGACCACTTTAAATGTCGATCATTTAGAATTTCGACCAAATAAAATATCGACTTAAAGATACTTAATTCGATCAATTAAAATTTTGAACTTTTTAAGTTTTGGGAAAAATTATGCGCCTCCTGCCGACAGGACTCTTCTTAGTTTATTGATACGATTACCTAGCCCTGATTTTTAAATTTAGAAAGTTGATATTTACATGATCTGATAGCTTTTTTAATTACCTTTCGAATCATATATATTTTCGTATGTTTATCTGAATCCATATTAATTTTATAATGTAATTTCGGAGAGACTCTCACCTGAGTCTTTTTCATCCGTCCTCAATTGCGCTGGATACAAATCTTTGTACATAGTGTTATAATAATAATTACAAACAAAATTCAAGATTAAAAAAAATATAGTGCAGAAAATTTATTTTGTAATTTATGGAAATTTATGAGGTAATTTATGAGATAATTTATGAAATTTTTAGGTAATTTATAATTATAATACAAACAAAATTCAAGATTCAAAAACTATTGCAGAAAATTTACGTGGTAATTTATGGAAATTTATGAAATTTTGAAGGTAATTTATAATATATAAAAGAAAATTTTAAAAAACTAATTTTTGAAATTTATAGGGTAATTTATGGTAATTTATGGAATTTTATGTGGGAATTTAAGAAAATTTAATGGAAATATATGTTTTAAATAAATTGCGTCCTGCCGGCAGGATGGCGCAATGTGCGGAGAAGCATCCTGCCGGCAGTACGCAGCCGCTTGTCCAAACGTCCTGCCGGAAGACCCTTCCAGCAGGATGGGCGCTTGGACGTTCTATCATTAAAGAAAAACTTTTTTAATTTCAAAGTTTTATTTAAAATAAAAAACTTTTCTTTAATCAAATAAATTTTCTTTAAATTAAAGAAAACTTTTCTTTGACCATATATCGAAGAAATATTTTTTTGATTCAAAGAAACATTTTTCTCAGTGTTTATATAAATATATTTTGTTACTAATTTTGATACTAATTTTTAGTATCGACAATGAAATTCTACATCGAGATAAGAGAGCAGAAGAAGAAAATTAATTCCAAATGAAAACATAATAATTCCTGATAGATATTTCCAACTTAATCATCAAAGGTCAATTATTTTTATAAATGGAATAATTAAAATAGAAATTAACTAGTATTTTGTAGTGTTAAAAAGTGTTAAAAATTGTACGCACCTTCTTTAAATAAAGAGCACAATTTTTAAGACTTAAAATTAAAAAAATTTATAAACGAACAAAATTAGTTATTACGAATAAATGTAAATGTACCTGTATTCAAGTTATAGGTGTTGGCAAAATATCTAATAAAAATATATTATAGACAATAATATTGGTTTGTTAATAAAAATAATTTTTTTTTTAAGATGAATTGCTAAAATATTAAAGTTTTTTTTTCATTGACTAAGTGGGATTGATAATTTTCATTTTTTAAAATAATAATTATTTTCAATTTTTTAAGTTGTAATTTAAATTAATAATTTTGTTACTTACTTCTTTATCTTTGCATGAGTATAGTATTAACAGTCGATAATGTAGAAAAGAATTATACCAGTGCCTGCAGTACATATCATACGTCGAGCGTTATTCTTCTCAACTACTAAGTTCCTGATAGATGGAGGCACATTGTAAACTCTACAATACCTCTACATAGACAAAACAATATTTATTAACAACAATAAATATTTTTATATTGAAATTATATTTTAATTGTAAATACTAAATAAATTTATTTTCCTATTTATATTATATTTTAAATTAAGAATCTATTATATCGGATGAGAAAAATTATATTCATAATATGATATATCACCGTTAGATGGCTACTTGTAAAAATATATTTGTATTTAACTTCTGGATTTAGTTTGAAGAAGTTTAGTTTTTTTAATACCTATACAGTTTAATATTATTTTTTATATAAATATGGAAAGTGACAAGCAAAAAAAATGTGCAATGTCCAACGATATTAAACCTATTCTTCCAATGTTTGGCAAAAATTGTATATTACCTTACCATCCAAGATTCATTGGGCCCTGGTCATTGTCTCCATCAGCTGTTTCAAAAACTCCAATTAACTTGGATTGCATTAAAAAAGCCATTGAGGATATGTCGTTAGGTATAACTGATGTTGGATTCAAATCTGATGATGCTTCAACTGATGACAGCGATGCTGAAGGTAGGATTAATGAATTAAATGACAGTCTTAGGTGTCATCCATAAACTACATAGCTCTTCAAGGGAGTGGAATGCGATATTTGCTACAAGAGGAAAAAATGGCGCTATTTTATGAAATTGGGGGGGGGGGGTTAAAAAATAGGCTACATAGTTTATGGATAACTCTTTATGAGGAGCAGCAACAAAAATAATAAAAAAAAAACCAAATTAAATTAAATATTTTACTTGTACCACTTGTACAATTATACCAAATTGGTAAATATTTTAAGGTTATGTTTTTGTACAATATTATACTTTTATAATAATTCTTAAACTATCTAAAATTTCAAATTTGATTTTTAATTTTCATTTATATACTTATCTGCAGCCTTTAAAGGTGCTCTCACATCTTTTTGGTTGCCTACAGGTTACCATATGTCAACGCATGAGAGTGAGTGCGACAGAAAAATGCCATGATAACCTGTAGGCAGCCAAAAAGGTGTGAGTGCCCCATAATCCCTCGGAAGATTAAATTTATCCACTCGGTGAAAATGGGCTCTATCCTTATTGCGACGAAGCTGAAGTACGCAACGTTTATGATAAATGATTTTTAATGAAATAATTTTTTTAAAATGAAAAATTCTATAATTTTATGCCTAAAAAATATTTTTTACAGTTTTCATTAATCAAAAAATTATTTTAAAAAATATTTTTTAGACAAAAAATTATAGAATTTTTCATTTTAAAAAATTATTTCTTTAAAAATCGTTTATCATAAATGTTGCGTATTTCAGCTTTGTCTTATTGCGATGAAAACAGCCTCATAGAACCAATTATGGTATATAATCTTTTGAAGATTTTTTCCCTTACATGTCACACGAAAAAAAAGTAGACTTTTACCCCAAAATCGGTATAAAAATTACCTGCAACAAATTTTATCCTAGTTGAGGGCGCCACCGAATTAGCATTGGTTAAAATTACCCTCAACAAAATTTACCCAGCCTTTTTTTTGTGTAATTTAATTAATTAAAGTTGAATTATTTTTCCGAATTTTAATTTCAATTTATTAATTTTTGTTACAATGTGTATAAACTTTTGGGAAAAAGACATATATACTTTTGTACTTTGTTGTTGTCCCGTTTACAATGAAATAAATAAGTGATTTATACGTAACTAATCAATAATTTTTTACGCCAATATTAAATAAATTAGAGTTCTCATTTTTGGGAAACTAAAATGCAATATACTCTTCGGTTCAAAAAAAAAAAATAAATATACACGTTTGTCGGCTTCGTTTTAATAACAAGTTTTAGAATGTGTCAATAATCTACCATTCCAATACTCATTATGAAGTCAGTTTTCGTATTCATTATTCAATGATCTGTCTATAAAAGAGACTTAAATAGATTTAAAATGTTGTAAATCAAGATTTATTATTTCAGAAATTAATAAGCCCTTAAATTCAATCGTAAATATATATATATATAGAAACATCATAAGGAATATATTGAAACTTATATTATTCTCTCTATAAATATATAAACGGCTACCAATTATTTTAATACCTCTAAATTCTAATTAACGAATAAAAATGGTATATATATATATTCCTACCTTTTTTTAATTGATGTAAATTATTAATCTAATTCAGAATCATATATTGCAACTAAACATTAAAACATTTTATTCACTTTCAAAAAACTATTGTTACTTTTTAAATCGAAAAAAATATTATTCTAATTTAAGGTAATTAAAAGAAACATTTTAAATAATCAACATTTTTAAAATCGTCTATAAAATAAAAACACTGTTAATTTGAAGGTATTTTGGAATGCAACGTTTTAATTCGATAAATAGTACGAAATTAATTATAAATTTCAAAAAAAAGAGAAGCAAAAATTTATATTTATAGTGAGCAGTTGAGTAAGAAAAAATTTGTTTGGAGATATAGTGAAAATATACTAACCTTTATTTATGTTCGTCAACATAGCAGATTCAAGATCAGCTCATATATAATCACAATACTTGAAAATTTTTAATTATTTTTATGGTTCGAATGATTATCAATAATAATTTAATTATAAATGAACAAAAAATTAAACATTGCACATTGATAAATATTTTTCATGCATTGCCATTGAATGCAATTAATAATTTCCTGTCACACAATATCTTAATTGCCTGATGCCATTTGTAAACAAACAGGGTTGGGAATCAAGAGCTCAAAATAAGGTCATCCAAAACAAAGTTGGGTAGGATTGTAATTTTGTCCAATAATAATTTTCGTAAAGTGTACACTTGTGGCCAGAATAGATATATCTACACTTTTTTTTGTTCTTTTCTAACGCACATGTTGTCATGGCAACACGTGTGTTAGAAAAGGACAAAAAAGTGTAGGCATAGGGCCAACGCACAATGGTTTCACGAAAGTCGTTCGCGAACGAAATTCATGCGTTAGAAAAGGACAGTGATATATTTCTGTTCTTTTCTATCTCATGAACCACGTTCGCAAACGACTTTTGGGAAGCTGTTCTGCTTTGGCCTATATTTGGACATGAGTGTACATATATTTAATTACGTAGTTCAAGTATAAAGTTACTAAATTTTTACTAGAGCAGGGTACGGTAGTTGATGAGAATGATGACAAATGTCGAATGGTGACAATGGAAACCAACCGTAATGTTGTGCACTAGATAATCGCAATCTTGGATTTTCCCCCACCCAACTTGAACTACCTAAAGGTTCTTTTATATCTCTAGTATTTTGGTCAAGCAATTGGCTGGATTGGATTTTCACGGTTCTATCACTGAATTTGATTGGCTCTGACGAATGTTACATTGTCACCGTGAAAATTAAATTTTGTTAGAGCCAATCAAATTCAGTGATTCTCTATGAAAATTCAATACAGCCGAATGTTTGACCAAAATACTATAGAGGTGTAAAAGCACCTTAAAACCAAAAGGCCAACGCAGAATAGAAACGTAACCGGAAGAATAAGTTAAGGCACTCTCACACCTTTTTGGCTGCCTGCAGATTACCATCGCAACGCATGAGAGTGAATGCGACAGAAAATTTAAAAATTTGAATATTCAAATTTTCTGTCTCACTCACAATCGTGCGTTGCCATGGTAACCTGCAGGCAGGCAGGCAGCCAAAAAGGTGTGAGAGTGCCTTTATAGAGAAGGACAAACAATCTATCTATCCTTCTCTAACTCATTCTTCTGTTTCGGTTAAATTAAGATATTGTGTGACAGGAAATTATTAATTGCGTTCAATGGCAACGCATGAAAAATATTCATCAAGTGTGTAATGTCTAAATTTTGTTAATTTATAATTAAATTATTAAATTGTTGATAATCATTTAAACCATAAAAAGAAGTTTATATGACGTAAGTATTTTTATTTTTCTTTACAAGGAACAAAAAAAATAACTAATAAAAATAAGAGAGGACTGTGAGACGAGCAAAATATATAATTTTAAGTACAGTATTTTATGATTTTTTTTTTATTCTACTACGTGTCTATATATATATATGTATATAAAGTTCCATTGGCATATAGTTTTAAAATGTATACATATATAGACATCATATTAATAAAAAATCCTCTTTCTTTTCTTATATCCAAAGTTGGTTGCGGGAGCGTGTGAAAAGAAGGTGCAAGTATGAAGCGTCATGCCAGATAATGATAATGATGACGGCGGTGGGACTTGACTTCTTCTTGAAGTGAAAAAAAAAAATTCATTTTTCTTTTATCCTCTAACCTATATGAGAAGGGATCCGCTACCGTCCCGCTCATTGTCCCTCTTGATTTTATATCCGCTATTCAAATGACTATCGAGACCATGTCAAAGTGCTACTGTGATTTGATATGATCATGTATAGTGGTTAGAAGTAATTAATAGTCAGGTATAGAAATATATAGTTATGAGGCGAGGGGTAGGATTGGTACACAACACGTGTTCTCTAGTACCTACCACTTTTGCAAATTTAAAAAGCAAACAACAATTCTACATTGTAGTGAACCTATTAAATAAATATATATAATGCAGAAAATCCCAGCAAAAAATTATTATACTTTCACTAATTTACATTATGTTTATATATATAAATAAAAACAGACTATTTCTTCAAATATATTTGTATATCATATAAATATATAGTAATAATTTTAACAC